AACGCTTGGTATTTATTTAAAGCTTTAAGTTCATTGTTTGTTTTTTTTTTTTTTAATAACAGAATTAACTTTTTTGTGCAAATCGGGGAAATTCTGTGGCTTACAGCTTTTTCCACTATGTTAAATTTGTTTAACTGTATATTCACTCTCACAGTTGCGTGATAAGCACACATTTTTGAATTGCTATTTTTATTTTAATTTTATGCCATGTTTTTAATTTTTATTTTAAAGTTTACAAATTTTATAAAATTTTATTAATTGATCATTGGCTTTAATACCAAATCCTGACTTGGAATTTAATATAACACACACATAAATATTTACTTGACAAATTATTGGTGTTACTTAAACAACAAACGCCGTATTTTTTTTTAACAAAATATCAAATTATTAATTAATTTTTTTTAAAACACACTTTTTTCACTTTCAATTTTTTTTATAAATATATAAATATATATATTTATTAAATTAAATTGATTATACCATGCATATATTTTTGGTTTAAAACTTTCAACCAACCACTTCAACTTCACTTTTACTTCTTAGTAGTTTTTACAGCGAAACGTACTTTTCGAAAATTCGCGCCGAACTAAATATTTTATGCTACTGATGAAGCTTTTATAATCGCGCCGTATTCGCTTCTTGTCACCCGAGTATATATTAAAATTCAGTGGCGAATCCTTTCGGGATGTGCGTGCACTGTGTGACATTGCGTGCACTGTGGTGAGTAATATAGCAGTTCGTTCACCATAAAGTCGGAATTTTTGTGTAACAATTTTCTTCATGAGATTTATCAGTGCTTCTTCTTTACGCATATTTCAAGGTTTTTATTTTGTTTTGATTTTGATATTCTTGCTTGTGGTTTATTCAGCTGCTTATTGTTTACATCGATACAAATGAGGTGGTGTCATGGTGTGTATGTAGTGGGTGGTTTGTTGAGTCTGGTGAATTTTTCATTATTTCTTATCACAATCATTTGGCAAGTTGCAGTCGGCAACAGCATCACTTCAACGACATGTATGTGTGTATGAATGTAGATTTGTATATGTGGTTGTTAGTAAACGTGTTATTTGTTGGACTGAACCACGTGCTCGGCAAGTGGAAAACAAAGATTTGGACTGCCGGTTTCTCATATTATATATGATGTACATATGTACAGTATGGTTATGAAAATATAAATGTATGTATATACTTTATATTCGCATGTATATATCATTAATAATAATAACACTAGACACAGTTTTTATTATTTTGTTGTTGCACTTCCTATAAAGTGCCGAGCGAACGGTTGCAAATGACAGTTTATATATATACAAAAAAATTTGATTTCTTAATTAAAAATTCGTATATGAACTGGTATTTAACTATTATAAAGGTAATGTGTAGTTTAAAAGTGTTTCTTCGTATCTCGTAAGGCAATCTTACAAATGCGAGAATCATCTTAATTTGGCCGAACGATATAAAAATGCCAACTAGTATCGATCCCTACAGAGAGAGTTCTCTCTTCGACTCACTAATATATGCCAATAACGGCAACCATGATATTTCGCGGATTTTATTATGTCAGCGAATTTTTGAGAGACTCACAGTTGATATCTGGAAGCTTTGCAACTGCCGCAGCGTTTTCTAAAAGCAACGCCTGACGCTTCCATATCTTAGGCTCGCAGAAAGTAGACTATAACTGTAGATATATGTTATCTCTTCAATATATAATACCATATGTAACCTCTTCTATGCTCCACCTAAGCCTTTGTTGCTTAAAATTCTACTACCATAAGATATGACTGGTCGTGTTTTATCTCGCAGGTGATGATGATTCCAAATGAGAGAAAGTCAGTTTCCATAAGATCTTTGGAACAGTCCGTCAGGATTTTAGAATTCCATATGCTCGAGCCTAGAGCGCAGATTGCTACCATTTTTAAATATTTCATATCAAAATACTGCCGAGTCTAGTGCGCTTAGAGGAAAATATAGTTCAAAAGTGTTCGAACAGTCCTCAACATCAAGCCGATACCGTTTGCCCAAGACTTTCCTTATCGATCTTGGTAAGAAGGCTAGTCCAAGGACTTAAGCTTCATGATCATCCAATGCCAGTTTGCTTGACTTAATGATCTTGAGATCGTTTGGCAGAGGATTAGTATTTATGTCAAAATATCGATGGCTGTGTTGACCACAGAAACAGCCGCATTCGGAACTGAGAAAACGAATACAAAACCAAGGAAAAATTAATAAATTTGTTTCCAAGAGTTGAGGAGACCACCCGGCGTCCCACGCAGCCAACCTTTGCGCACTACTTTGGACTATTTTTTATAGGTAGCCTTTAAGGATAAGCGAGAAGTTGTCATTGTAGCCGTAAAGTGTTCCACAAGAAAAAATGTCTGTAAAAATTGGGTCGACAGACTGAACAAAAATTACTACTGAAAGACCAGCCTTGGCAGCCGTAGGCATGAAGTGGTGTTCCAGCGTTAAACGGAGTGGTGAGACGTTTATTTAAATTCAAAACGAGGAAAAATATTCAACCTCCTTTCATTGCCGACATTTTTTGTGGCCTACCTTTTAGATAAGCAAGCTGTAATAAAGATCTTTTTTTTCATGCAACACGAAGCCAGCAGTGGTTGCACTATTAAGAGATGCAATCAAATCACTGGCAGAGAAAAACAAAGCTTACATCTTTTTGGTTATCCGTTAATGAGGACCTAAAATGCACTGAGATTGCTGATAAATCCGCTAAAGAGCGGATCTTATCTGAACAGCACGTAACTATGGAGTTACTAATCTCATTTCGGGAGGCAAAGCAAGCATAGAAAACGCTTTCGTTTCGACAAGTTAACAGGCTTTCTACTAGCAACAGGATGGTCAAACTATAGGGTGATACTAAGCCTGTTAATAGGCATCACATGATTTCAAATTACCGCTGGTTGAGAAAATGAATGAATGAAAGTAATGCTGCGGTTACTTTCAATTGTCGTAAAATACTTCGTAGACTTCAATCAGAAATGAATAAAGTTCCACAATCTCGGTTTCATTTAGCTAAGAAGACAGCAAACACCACTACTACTTAACCTATACCGCCGTTAACTCTAAATGTATATACCATATTTGGAAATTTACAGACTTAAAATATAGACTAAAATATAGAGAGCTGATGTATATTTTCACATATTACTTCAGCCCTGTATATGACGTCATAGTTACCAAACAATGAACATTGCAGGTCGAACCAGCACCATTGAGGGCTTCATACATGAAAAAACTAACAAGGTTCTGGAGCAATTACTTAAGGCACTATTCCCTTAACCACTTATAGCAAGCGCCAAAGAGCTCCTAAATTCTTTATCTCTTTTCACTTTTTCCATCGAAAATAAAAATTCACTTCGAAGAGTATGCTAGACATGTCTTGAAGAAAAAACTATTGCTCAGGGGGCGTATACCTTTCGTTTACATGAAATGATATATTAATTTTGGTCCGAACTGTGTAAGTACCAGGAAGAAAAGAGATAGAAACACTAAAACTTATACCAAACGAATCAGAATGACGATTTGAGTTGTTTTAAACATGTTCGTCTGTCTGTATGTTTCTTTGTACACAAACTAGTAATTCAGTTCTTAGATATTTCAACCAAACTTGGTACACAGATGCATTAGTGAATTTATGCGATCATTTTGTCGGAAGCGGCCAGATCGAATCACGTAGCGTACATACGACAAATTTTGCAGATTTGAGGATTCGGTTCGTAAATTGGTTAAAGGAGCATATAATAGCGTGAACGTACACTCGTATGATGAACTACAAATTGGTGCTGAAAATGAACGAAATCGGAGAACTATAACGGATAGCCCACATACATCTTCAGACTAGAGGATTTGGGTAGAAAATCTGACTGAAATTTCCTACCATTTTCGATCGGAAAATTTCATCATATTCGTACCATTTCTTTCTTCTCATTTCTTATTTTCTAATCTCTGTCGAGAACAAAAAATTACTTCGAAGAGCGAGCAGGCGATGACTTTTAGAAGAAAATATCACTCATACGCCCTGCCTTCTAAAGAACATCAGTGTCATAACAGCTTAATATGAATTTTTCAAAATTCACCGTGAACAACATTCATGCTCTAAATATAATACATTTTTACTAAATTATCACCAAAATAAATGTGTCAAAATATGATTATTTTCTGAGAAAATAAATAGAAATATGATTGAATTTGTAAAGCTGTCACATTGACTGAAAAAGGAAAGAAGGAGTATAATGAGACTAAAAGAAATAAAAAAAAATCGATTGATAAGAGACACGCACACACACTTTATTGTCGATGTGTATTTATATGTTTGTAAAAAAGTATTCAAGTGCAGTTTAAATTCACTCGCTCGCTATTGCCTTCGCCAGGTAAATTTTAAAGCGCGTGCTGGCCGAACGACAGTGAGGTCAATGCAAAAAAAAAAAAAAACGAAAAAAGGAAAAGAGAAATAAAAAGTAAAAAACCGTAACAAACGCAAAAGAGAAATTAAGGAGGAAATGCTTTTTGTTTCGCTACATATAAACAGTTAAACAAGAATGTAACAACCGTTAAAAGCAATCGTCTTTCTGATATGTAATATATACGATAAATTACTGCTAAGACGAATGTCATCAAGTAAATTGAGATTTAAGCCAACAAGCAAGCAAACTGTTGTTGTAGTTTTTATCCTTGCTGATTCCCCAAACAGCGATTCAAAAAGACCTATTTGTATATATGTCAATGTGTGATTGTATGTACATTTATATATACATGTGACTGTGTTCTCATTGGCCGAACATCCATTGCTGGCTGTGGAATAGCCACATGACATTTGTCTTGCCAATTTATTGCTACTTCCACTGTCAAGGCACAGTTGGAAATTTTATTGGTTTTTTTTTTTAATTTTTATTATTTTGCCTGCGATTTTAAGCGAATATGAGTTGGTAACAAAACTGGATATATTTGAAAAATTAAGAAAGTAAAAAAACTCACATACTTACCCTTAATATCCTGTAGGGGCTATCGCGTAGCAGACACACTTGTTCGATTACCTCCGGTTGGAGTATGGACTCAAGCGGTGTTTCTCCATCCTCAATTTCGCCACGTTTACTACCAGCCGAGGTGGCACGTTCGATTATCATGGAAAAGATCCAGTACTGCTTTAGTGCGGAGCAGAGGAAAGAAAAACATATTCGTGGGGGGTTTCAAAGAGCGATTAAATTGGCAAATTGCATTTATTTGCTATTTTATTCTCAAATGAATTGAATTGATTTGAATTAAATTACAGTAGAGTCCAATGACCGTACACACACTCACACCCACCACCCCACACACGAACACACCTGCATATTCTGGTGTGGTTACTTACCTTAGTCTTTTGTCGCTTATTGTTGTATGAACCGGCGAGTAGTTTCGGTTGTGTCTCGGTCCGTTCGGGCGTTATGCCACTTCCATTGTAGATACCGTTCAAGAATTTCGGCATATCGACTTCGGTGAATTGAAAGGGCGATAGCGTTATAGGTGCGCTGAAAAAAATATTTTGTACAAATATATAAATGAATTGTGTAAATATTATATTAAAATATAATAAAAATAATATAAATTAAGCAAAAATAGAAAAAAAAATATTTAGAAAGAATAAGTCTGCCAAAAAATAATTTACCATAGATGGTGTTACTGATTTGTATCTCGCGTTCTAGAAGTGCGATTGAATTACGCTAGATGGCATTAGAAAGACAACGAGAGAAATTTTGATCCCTTAACTCGATACTGTATGAGCGCATGTCAAAGATGGACAGCCGGATAAAGGCGGAACCACAAGTGAGACAGCTGGAAGTGAGGACAGAATTTATGGTCTGGATACCGTAACGGTCACTATACTTTATTTTGGTTTTCACGTTTTAGTTTGGGTAGGTTTGTGGGAGGGTTTTTTTGTAAGATTTGTGAGATGGACAAGTGAGCTGCTCTCTAACACCCAAAGTCTTATTTGAGACCTCCACTGTTAGCAGTTTTACCGCATGAAAGAAACAATCGCCCATAAACGTCTAGCTTTGGTTATTAGGAGGGATCATCAACGGGACAATGCCACTATACACAACGATAGCGACTCGGAAGTTCCATGAGCTGGGTTGATTGGATCTTCTATATCCAACTTATAGCTCAAATCTCGCACCAAGTGATTATTATCTGTGCCTATCTATGGCAAATGATTTAGCTGGTGAAGAATTGGCCTCAAGAGAAGCCTGTGGAAACTAAATTCTCAACTTTTGACCAATAAGAACAGTGGTTTCCAAGAGAGAGGGTCATTATGCCTCTAATACCTTCAAATACTAAGAATAATAAATAAAATTTTCAACTTAATGCAAAAATAAAAATTATACTAAAGGGTGAGCCAAGCAGAGGTACTTTTTTCAGCAGAACTTTTATGACAAATTACGCGTGAGTCGTGTCAAGCTGTCATATTATTTCTGTTCCACATTGTTCGGCATTTCCTCACGGAACAACGTTTACAAATCGTTTCGTTTCGTTTCGTTTACGTTTCGTAATGAATGTCAACTTATGGTCAACCCAATTGGCATGGTCCAGCACGCAGTGAAGAAAATATGGCAGCAGTAGAGGAGAGTGTATACGAAGACCATGGAGAGTCGATTCGGTGCTGTTTGCAGCAACTCGGACTGATGTATGGAATACAAAGCATACAAAATAAATACAGCTTCTGCAAAAACTAAAACCGCTTGATATTGCCAAATACCATATCGCTACGCTTTATGGGCTCTTGAAAAGAACCAAAAACGATCTAACGTTTTCGAACTATGAGACCCACGAATAAGAAAAGCGTATGTGAGTTAGCAAAACTGTCGAATTCGGGTCGAAGAGCAAACTGAAGTCATGCAAGAGCTGCCATTTCACCCAGAAAAAACAACGGTGGGGTGTGATTTGTGTGCTGGTGGAATCATCAGTCCATATTTCAACAAAAATGATGACGGTGAGAACATAAACGTCAATGGTGACCGCTATCGCGCCATAAAAACTGACTATATGATGTCTGGATTTGAAGTTCGTGATCTCGGCGATATTTGGTTTTAACGAAATTTTGCCACTTCCTACACATCGCATCAATCAATGGAGAGAACACTTTGGTAAGCGGAAAATTTTACATTTTCTGGCGGTCGTTTGGCCACCAAGATCGTATGATACTACACCGCAGACTTTTTCTTGAAGGGATATATAAGGTTTGCTTAAGAGCTGCTCGAGGTTATGCCAGGTTACTCTATTCCAAAAAATTGTGTTTTATGAAAACCTTTTTGCTCTTATTTGCTCTACTTTTTGTTCCTTGAGTCTGCTTTAAGCAGAAATAGAGCAACTCGGATCACAACTTCTGGTGGAGTAACTTGGATCAAGCTATAAGATTTTTTTTTGACAGACGAAATAAAACGAAATCTAAAGAAGGCACAGAAAACGACATAGATATAAATGACGATAAAAATTATAATATTTACTGAGAAATATTTCAATTTCTATTTTGTTTACAACAGAAAAGTCAAATATTCCCATTTGAAAATTGCTGCTCGAAAAAAGTTGTATGAGCTCTTTGCTCCGAGTTTCTCTAACTTGCTCTATTCTTCTCGAACATGAGCTGCTCTACTCTATTTTCAGTCTCAATTAACAAACCTATAAAGTCTAAGGTGTTTGCGAACAATCCTGCCTCGATTCAGGCACTGGAGCAAAACATCACGGTTACCAGTCGAAAATTGGACTCAACGAATGGACCATCTGAGACGTAGCCGCGGCCAGCATTTAAAGAAAAAATCTTTAAAAAACAAATGCCAAAAAATGTTATTTCGACTGATACTTAACATTTTTCATTAAATTTGAGTTTTATGTGCTCATTAAAAAAGTTGGGAACCTCGAAATGGATCATCCTTTGTATTATATATGGCATAACATTTAATTTAAGGTTAATGCTTCTACAAATTCCACGTTATATTTACTTTCTTTTTATTGATATTGAACCTCATTCCTTCATTTCAATTCATGGTTACTCTATTTACTAGCCCATTGAGTGATTATACACTAATTAGTTCTCTAATAACCTTCTGAATGTGTTGATTCGTATTAGATTAAACAAACATATATACATATCTGCATATACGAGGGGCTTAACAATAGTTCGGTAAGTTGATAAAAAAAAGTTCTTCTACTTTCTATTCGTAATCTTTGTTCTTTTTTATCTTCTCTACATAATCGCCATTGATTTCAATGCATTTCTCAAGCCTATAGATCCCCCTCTGAAAACAGTTTTCGAAAACTTGCTTCTTGAGTTTATCGAGCTCATTAATAGTTCCTCGTTGCTATTAAAACCCTTCCCTTTTAAAGTGTTTTTTTTTTTTAATTTTTGGAAATAACTAGAAATCGCGAGGGGGGTTTTCAACGATCCCAGATGGTGGGGTGGCGTGTTGTCATGATGTAAAAAGTAACGGCGCAAATCCCCTTTCTTCCTGTTTCCCAACAAATTTTTAAAACGTTTGATAAGCACTCTTCGGTGAAGTTACCGGCTAACCCTTTTTCAAAGGAATAGCAGCTCCGATTTTAGATCGGATGAAGTAAACTGACATCTTTACCTTTGCTGCTGATTTTTGTTGCTTAGATTTTACAAGGACTGCTGTCTGGTTTCTGGATCGTATTTATAGAACCTATATTCGCCACGAGTAACAACTTTACTGAAGTTGCTAGACTCACCATTTCCAACTTTGTTTAAGAAAAATTGAGCGAAATGCACTCGAGCCTCTTATTGGGCCTAATTTAAAATTCGTGGCACCTATCGAGCAGATTTATCCCAGATGGCATTCCAGCCCAAATCATTAGAAATAATTTTTGGTTACCCGTGGGTCTTGGTCCATTTTGGACTTCATCAAAGCAACAGTGACGTCATTAGTTGAAGATTTCGCTCGACCTTCTTGGGGGCTCGTCCTTTATGAAAAAATATCCGTTCTAGAATCTTCGGAACCACATGTGAATAGTATTTAAGGGTGGTGCAATCGTTCCATAAGCAATTTGGCATGCACTGAATATTTTTCTTGACTGTAAATTACGCCAAAACCCGAAGAGAATCATATGGTAAATTTCTGTTCGCGTTGGTGGCGGTGTTTGGTCTGATCTTTCCTCAGTTATCATGCGTTTTGTCGTCTCCATTTTAACCAATCGTTATGAAATTCGAAAGGAAGACTAATAAAGTATTTGCAAAGGATTTGGTATTTTTAGAATTAACAAAAAAAAAAAATGGAAAGTCACCAACATACCGAACTTTTTGGTTTGAAGTTTTATGGAACTGTCTCAGACCATATATATTTGGAAATAGCGAAAAGATTACAACAACTGTTTTGGACAGTAAAAGTTATAGTTGCCTTTATTCGAATTGAATTCGAACTTGGGATGGCCACAGCACGAGCCAATATGTAACCGATTAAGCTACATGTGTGCCGCTTTCAATTTTTGTTGTTTTTCACTTTTTCTTTCTTACCTATATTTCCAAGATCTAATGCCCAAATATTCCGTAGCTGTAAATCTTGGCGCGATGTAGTTGTTTTTGCGTAGAATTTATCAACAATCGTTTTTTTATTTTTGGAAAAATTCATTCGCACGGCGACGCTTTGAACTTTTGTTAAGCCCCTCCAAACGTACGAGGGGTAGTAAATATAGATATTTATATATTTGTCAACTAGCTGATGTCTGCAAATATATTTCATATCTCTTATCAATTGCTTGGTTATATCATCGAAATTATGCTAATTGGGATTGATTAATAAATGAGCATCAGATAACGGTGAGTTTTGCCCAATACACCTCTAATATTAATTAAACTTATGAATGTAGTTTGCGATGTTTATAAAAGTTTTTTTGCTACATCAAAACTAACACGAATATTTTCGAGCTGCTTGAGCATTTGAGCAACGAGTACTCGCATACTCTTTCTTTGCTCATTACTCGAAAATTTCACCGTTTTTCTCACAACTTCCTTCTATAATTTTAATTTTATTTATATGAACTCATTGAAATACTAAAAAAAATTTTGAGAAAACAAAATTATTTATTAATTAAAATTTGAAAAATTTCTAACTAAAATTTGAGCAGTTGAGCAACGAACGAGTATCGAGCGAGTATTGAGCTGCTCACAGTGATCGATACCCGAGCATCTAGAGCTCTAATATTGATTCACGTAATATAATATTTATGGAATATTAGCAATATTTTTGTAATAGTATTTGCATTAGACATTCCCTAAATATATTCAGTTCTCTGATGTTATAAAGGTGAAATCTGTACAATATTGTTTCCCTGGTTTCTCTTCATTTGGTACTCTCAGTTTTTAAGCCTGAATTCCCTCAATCATTATTACCGCCCTAATGTTTCTAGTAAAAATTTATTTTAGTTCAAAATTCATTACATGAATTACGGTTTTAAATCAAAATGGGTTGCTCATAATTTTATATAGTTTTTCTTAGCACTGCCTTTTAGCAAT